CTACCAATTAACTCATTCCATTCAAGGTGCTCACAGACAGAGCGTTTAATAATCTGCTCTAGAATTTTTCCAGGTATTGATGTCAAACTGCCAGGCCTGTAATTTCCTGGGTCTGTCTTTTTTCCCTTCTTGAAGATAGGGACAACATTTGCTTTTTTCCAGTCTTCCGGCACAACACCAGTACTCCAGGACATCTCAAAGATTAGAGTCAGAGGCTCTGAAATAGCATCTGCAATTTTTTTAGCACCCTGGGATGCAAACCATCTGGCCCTGGAGATCTGAAAGTATACCTATTTCTTTCCTGTATCAGGCGTGAGCTGTAATCTTAAACATGTCTCAGTTTCCCTTTGTTCAGATATAACCAAATAGGTATGCATACAGCTGTAGCCTTGCCATGGGAATGAAAGATTTAGTGTTAACTTGTAAGAAAAGTGCTGAGATGCATGCCTGTTTGGAAACTATCCAACTTCCAACCCCAGTGCTGAGGTGAGGAAAATGTACCCTACATATATTCAGAGGAGCACTGATATTTCTTGACACATCTTGTGCAGTATACTTAAGGTTGCAAACTGCTGCTTAAGAAATCCCTCTGTAATGATTTCATGTTTTGGTGTGCGTGTTTCTTTAAATGTTTAGTTTGACTGCAGTAATGTAAGAAGAGTGATAGAGGGAGACAAGTGTGATGTGATTGGCTGGTGACTGAGAATGTGGGAGGAGGGATGTCTCTGAGAGGATTCTGTGCGTGATGTTTGGGGAGAGAGCATAGTCTGTGTGACTATGAGAGTTGGAGTCTATTCTGTGTGAATAAGACAAAGAGTTTAGCCTGTGTGGCTATATATATGAGAGAGAGAGATTAGACTGAGTGTCTAAGCCTGTCAGAGTGGAGTTTTGGAGTTTGAGAGACTGTTTGTGATACCGAGCTTTGCCAGTTATATTTACAAGTTCCTTTCTTTAGCAACAGTTCAAAATAACCAGAAACCTATTTTGTTCTTTATTAAATAAATCATTTTTTGTTTAAACTTATCCCAGCAATCAGAATAGTCCTTCCTCAGGGCCACATAGTCCTCTGAAGTGCCCAGACCCTGGGTCATTCTACCACAATAGAGAGATTTGGAATAATTTATTCCTGGTGGCAGCAGAAATCTACCAAGGTCCCGGTCACACGGGCCGGAAAATGCAGGGGGGGGAGCGTGGCTGTTTGCCCCGGAGCAAAGTAACGCGTGGCAGCCCGATCACATGTCTCGTGGAGGTCCTGTGGGTATGCCGTTAGGTGCTGATCACACAGCTATCCTGCAGCGTGGCAAAGAAGCGGTGTGGTGCGATCACACTGGCAATCGCTAGGCAGCACTTCTGTGGCAAACGGGAATTTTTTCCCCTCACCACAGTGTGCACATGTGCCGGTGGGCATTTGTGCGTAATCTTAAACATGTCTCAGTTTCCCTTTGTTCAGATATAACCAAATAGGTATGCATACAGCTGTAGCCTTGCCATGGGAATGAAAGATTTAGTGTTAACTTGTAAGAAAAGTGCTGAGATGCATGCCTGTTTGGAAACTATCCAACTTCCAACCCCAGTGCTGAGGTGAGGAAAATGTACCCTACATATATTCAGAGGAGCACTGATATTTCTTGACACATCTTGTGCAGTATACTTAAGGTTGCAAACTGCTGCTTAAGAAATCCCTCTGTAATGATTTCATGTTTTGGTGTGCGTGTTTCTTTAAATGTTTAGTTTGACTGCAGTAATGTAAGAAGAGTGATAGAGGGAGACAAGTGTGATGTGATTGGCTGGTGACTGAGAATGTGGGAGGAGGGATGTCTCTGAGAGGATTCTGTGCGTGATGTTTGGGGAGAGAGCATAGTCTGTGTGACTATGAGAGTTGGAGTCTATTCTGTGTGAATAAGACAAAGAGTTTAGCCTGTGTGGCTATATATATGAGAGAGAGAGATTAGACTGAGTGTCTAAGCCTGTCAGAGTGGAGTTTTGGAGTTTGAGAGACTGTTTGTGATACCGAGCTTTGCCAGTTATATTTACAAGTTCCTTTCTTTAGCAACAGTTCAAAATAACCAGAAACCTATTTTGTTCTTTATTAAATAAATCATTTTTTGTTTAAACTTATCCCAGCAATCAGAATAGTCCTTCCTCAGGGCCACATAGTCCTCTGAAGTGCCCAGACCCTGGGTCATTCTACCACAATAGAGAGATTTGGAATAATTTATTCCTGGTGGCAGCAGAAATCTACCAAGGTCCCGGTCACACGGGCCGGAAAATGCAGGGGGGGGAGCGTGGCTGTTTGCCCCGGAGCAAAGTAACGCGTGGCAGCCCGATCACATGTCTCGTGGAGGTCCTGTGGGTATGCCGTTAGGTGCTGATCACACAGCTATCCTGCAGCGTGGCAAAGAAGCGGTGTGGTGCGATCACACTGGCAATCGCTAGGCAGCACTTCTGTGGCAAACGGGAATTTTTTCCCCTCACCACAGTGTGCACATGTGCCGGTGGGCATTTGTGCGCATCCTGTGGAGACTTAAAAAACAACATCCGGTTTGCAACGGGACATGGGCGGGCGGCGGATGCCACGGGATTCCAGCGGAGACGCGATCAGACGCCCGCCCTTGCCCCGCGTTTTCTGGAAAGTAGCACATTGTATGTACTAGTTTTTTACTCCGTATCTTCGACACGGGTGCACTACGCTTCCCAGATGTTGCGATGTGATCACGCCCGGAAAATCCGCCTATCATCTGTATCTTTAGCATGGCAAATGCTCCATGTGAACGGGGCCCAAGTTCATGTACACAGAGTATGTTTTAAAGGAGAAACAGACTCCCCAATAAGCAGGACGCCACACCCTGATTTGAGGACAGTATGTGGGAAGAGAAGTCAGCAGAGATATGATGTAGGATTGCCAACTCTATATTCAGAAATCCCTGGAGATTTGGGGGTGGTGCTTGGGGAGTAGAGGGTTTGGTAGGGGAAGGAACTTAGAGCCCATCCTCTGAAGCAATCATTTCCTCCAGGCAGAACTGGCATCAGCATACCCTGAGGTGGGGCAGCTGTCAGGGCCCAGGGGGTTTTGCAGGGCCCACTGCCACCTACCACATGCTTCCCCTACTGCACACATCCATCTCTTCCCTACTTGCTTGTTTGCTAGCACTGTGCCATCCATACTCCTGGAGGTACACAGGGAACAGGCATCTGTGAGTACAAGTGGAGAAAGGGGTCTTAAAGGGTGAAGAAAGGATGCACAGGCATGTCAGAAGAGCCCTGCTGGATCAGACCAATGGTACATCTCATCAAGTATCCTGTCTCACACAGTGGCCAACCAGTTCCTCTGGAGCAGGGGTGGCCAAACTTACTTAACGTAACAGCCACATAGAATAAATGTCAGATGTTTGAGAGCCACAAGCCATGAACAAATATCACACACACATTCTTATTGAACAGTATGCAAATTTGCTTTTTATTAACATTAAATTGGACTGTGTGAAAGAGCCACATGCGGCTCCTGAGCTGCAGTTTGGCCACCCCTGCGAGTCTGGAGGGACAACAACAGGGCATAGAAACTGAGACCTTCCCCTGATGTTGCTTTCTGGGTCAGGTGGGAAGGAAGGCATGAGAAAGGGGCCTAGCAGTCATGCAAAGGAGAGAAGGGGAGCCCCAGGCCCCTGAAAATCTGGAACAGCCCTGCCTTCAGACAAACTGCTCTCTGTAGTCTGCACATCTGTTATAATTCTGGGAGGATTTCATGGCCCACTGGGAGGCTGGCAACGCTAGGTATAGTTGGACTAAGACCAGGGAAACCAGGATTCATCTCCTTCCTCTGGTGCCAGCTCCATGTTGGGAAATACCTGGAGATTTGGGGGGGGGGGTGGAGCCTGAGGAGGGCAGGGTTTGGGGAGGGAAGGTATTCCCACAGGGTATAATGCCATAGACTCCACCTTCCAAAGCAGCCATTTTATCCAGGTGAACTGATCTCTGTTGCCTGGAGATCAGGTATGATGGTAGGAGATCTCCAGCCTGTCAACAAAGCGGCTGTCTTGAACTTGGTTGCCATGGAGATGTGGGGGGTGCCAACAAGAATGTATACTTTCATTTCTGGCCTCTGTGCCATTATCTATCTGATGTGCCATGTAACCTTGAGACCTGCACTGTCTTTGGTATTCTCTTTCCCCTGGGAATTTTGGGCCCTTGGTTGGCGAGCTTGTAGTTTAGGTGTGATTGGCCAAGAGCCACTAATGTCTCATTTGATTGCAATATAAGAAGAGATTGGATTTATACCCTGCCCTTTACTACCCAAAGCTGTCTCAGAGCTGGTTACAAACTCCTTTCCTCTTCCCCTCCCCACAACAGACACCCTGTGAGGTAGGTGGGGCTAAGAGAGCTCTGACAGAAACTGCTCTTTTTCAAGAACAGCTCTTATCAGAACTGTGGCTTGCCCAAGGTCATCCAGCCAGGTGCAAGTGGAGGAGTGGAAAATCAAACCTGGTATCAAACCCGGTTCTCCCAGATTAGAGTCCGCACACTTAACCACTACACCAAACCCCAGTTCTGACAAAGAACGTTGAGTCTGGATCCTGTCACTGTCTCCATTAACTTAACTTCTTCTGAATGTTATTGGGAACTGATTTTTCCAGGGACTCTGACACTATTTCTTTTGCCTGGCGATCAGGTGTAATCCTAGCAGATTTCCAGCCACCACCTGGAGGATGGCAACCCTATATGAAGCTGGCTGCCCTGGGCAATGCTGGACCAGTCACTCTTCTCTAGACTAACCCACCTTACAGTTTTGCCAGACGTAGCTCCGCCTTCCTACTTTTTTTTGGCGAACACTACCCGCGCGCAAGCGCGCAAACACTCTTGCAACTCAAGGACAGCCATGCACTTCCGGCCGGTTCGTCGGCAACTGCGCAGGCGCCATTTCCCAGCATCACCTGAATTTCCGACTTCCACCTTCCCCGCCTCCTCTTCAGCCCCGGCTTTTCCCATCTGCCCTTGCGGGGCGCGTAGCCAAAGTGTCTGTGTCCTGGTAATGCTCAGGAAGGGAGAAGCCGGGGGAAGGGAGCGCGAGGGAGGAATGAATGGTGGTGCCTTGGTGGGTTCATGTGGCGCCTGCTGTGGGGGGCGCTGAGGGCCCTTCCCGGCCTAAAAGCAGGGAGGCAGTGGCTGGGCTCTCGGGGGCCTCATAGCACCGCCATGGAGCGGGCCGTGGTGCGCTGCATCCCGGCCGAGCCCAAGCTCAGCGTCTCGTTAGTCCTGGGAGACGGCAGCGCCCGGCATATGCAGCGGGACCAGGCGGAGCCTCTGGGCCGGGCACTGGCCCGCATCGCCAACAACGCCGGCAAAGGCAACGCCAAGGCGGCCAAGAAGAGCAAGAAGGCGCGGGCCGAAAGTGGAGCGCCGCCGCCGCCACTCCCCGCCGTGTGCCTCTTCTCCCAGGACGGCCAAGCCGTGGCCGACGACGTGCCCAATGCGGAGGCGTGGCAGGACGGGACGGTGCTGCAGATCGGCGAGACCCGGTACCGCGTGGAGCGCAACCCGCCGGCCCTGACAGAGCTCCAGCTGCCGCGCTCGCTCCTAGCGGGCTTTCCGGTGTGCCCCAAGGTCCGCACCGAGTTCGGCTCCCCCGCTCATTGCCTTTTCCGCTGGTACCAAGAGCAGAAAGTGGAGCTGGGAGTAGCTGCGGCAGCCGCTGCAACGGGCTGGGTGGAGACGCCGGGGGGCACTGAGCACGTCTTCATGCCCAGCAACGCGCACGGCTTGCCGCGCGAAGTGGAGAGCGGTGGCCCCGTGGAGGCCGGCCCGGGCGCCTGCACCTTCGACGCGCGGCATCTCTACACCAAGAAAGTAACCGGGCCGGGTCTCATACGCACCGTTAGTTACAACATCCTGGCCGACATATACGCCCAAACCGAGCTCTCCCGGACTGTGCTCTATCCCTATTGCGCTCCGTATTCGCTGGAGCTCGACTACCGGCAAAACCTTCTCAAGAAGGAGCTGGCCGGTTATAGTGCCGACATCATCTGCCTGCAGGAGGTGGACAAGTCGGTCTTCACGGACAGCCTGGGCCCTGCGCTTGATGCATTCGGCCTGGAAGGGCTCTTCAGGCTTAAGGAGAAGCAGCACGAGGGCCTGGCCACCTTCTATCGAAGAGACAAGTTCAGCCTGCTCAGCCAGCATGACATTGCCTTAAACCAGGCCCTGCTGGAAGATCCTTTACACAAAGAACTAAGAGACCAGTTGGCTCCCTATCCTGAAGTGCAGGAAAAGGTGCAGCAGCGATCATCCGTCCTTCAGGTATAAGCAGATCTGCCTGTAGGCAGTCTGAAGGGGCATTATAGGTATAAGGAAACAAAGTCGGTGGTAACCAGAAATAAAGACGGGCAGGGCTCTTTTGCTTTTAATGGATAAGCAGCTTCTGATGAATTCAGCGAAAGAGCTGGAACTGCTGAATTACTTCTAAACTTCTATTAAAGAAAGAAAGGCAAGACCTGTCCTCCATTATGTCTGGTTACTCTACAAGCAAGGTTGCCAGTCATGTGCAATAACTGTTTCAGGTAGTATATCGGTGGTGGAAAGTTCCATCAAGTTGCATCTGACATGGTTGACTCCATAGGGTTTTCAAGGCAAGAGGCTTTCAGAGGTGATTTGCCATTGCTGGCCTCCATGTAGCGACCCTGACTTACTTGGTGGTCTCCCAGCCAGATGCTTACCAAGGCCAACCCTGCTTAGCTTCCAAGATTAGGCTAGGTTGGGTTCTGTTAATTTCCGTTAGTGCCTGTCCTGCTCTAGAATGTGGCTTTAATGTTGAAACAGCATCATGGTATGTTGGTAATAATAATTAAGGCCTTTCTTGGAGTTGCAGTATTCAGTGGAGTTGCACTGTGTTTCATGGAATAAGACTTGGAAAAAGAGACCTGGGAGCACAGGTGTGAAGGCTGGAGGGTGTTTTTCCTAGGCCTTACCCTCCAATTTTTCAGACAGAAAAATTGGAAATTTGGTGGAGTACTGCAAAAAACTCCCTATGAAATAATTTCTCTTTTTGAATCAGTGAAATGCTTTTAAAGGCAAGGTGGGCATGCTGCGGACATGAGCAACTTTTAAATCCCAGATGCATTTCTGCAACTGGATGGTACCTAATCTTCATGAGGGAAACATGCACGGCTTTCACTGCTTCTCAACAGTTGCATGCCTTTTTTTGTTCTGACACGCTTGAGCTTGTGATTGACATTTTCACTTCTCCCTCAAACCACTGTGACACATTACCCCCAGACTGGGTAAAAAGTAGCCTATTGCCCAACCATGAAGGGGGGACAAAAAAAGATCAGGAGATGGAGCAGAAACTGCACCAAAGCCTCAGAGGAAAACGGAAAGTCTCATTGTGAACGTAGCTCTCTCTAAGCAGGTGCATGTGCAAAAAGATATCATAAGGTTTAGTTTTCTCTCAAGTACTGTTTTTTAAAATTTTTATTTTATATTTTTAATTTTTTATTATTATTATTTATAATTTTATTTTTAATTTTGCTTTTACAAGGCTAAGACAGTTATAACTTTTAAACTCCATAAATATATCCAAGGATAGCAAGTTTTATATGCTAAGTTGTAAATGATATATCTTCTTTTGTTAAAGTAGTAAAATTAGTTTAGATTTGATAGGACAGTAAGTATTGCATATATTTCAATTATTCTCCAAATTGCTGGTTTTTCTGGGGGGGAAACAGGAAAAACCCATTTCCCCCATGGTTTTAATTTTTTTAGAAACTGTACATCTCTGCCTGGGAGGGGCAACACTTTATTTCACCCATGCTGTCTAAAAGTGTGAGGAGACATGGAGAAGGAACACCACAGTTTAGGAGCAGCTGTCATCCCATTCAAGTAGAAGTTGGCCCCTTAAGGTAGCACAGAATTGTTTCCAGAAGTATAGTCAGATACTGAGGAAAGCTATGATATGAGAACTCATGAACTGTTTCTTGTAGGTTTCAGTTCTTCAGTCTACAAGTGATCCTTCCAGAAAGGTTTGTGTTGGCAACACCCACTTATACTGGCACCCAAAAGGTAATTCTGCTATTGTAGTTCATGAGCTATTGTGAAAGGTTGTTTGGGGGCAGGGTAGTGAGATACAAACACAGCGTTATAATTGTGCATAGTGTGACCTGCTATGGCTGGAGTGTGACATTCTTGCCATATGAGGGAAAAAATTGTTATGAGTAGGGGGCGGGGTAGTGGCTTAATATGTGCTTCCCCCCCCCAAGGTAGAAGAAATTCACATTCTGCTTTCTGTGGTTTGTAATTGTGACATAGAAAAAGATATTAAGTTAACTGGAGGAAAGAAGGGGTTAAACACACTTGGGCCAGGGGATGGAGCACTGTGGAAAGATACCATTTTAGAACAAATTAAGTGCAGTAAAAACTATGGTATCCAGCACTTGGTTAACCAGCAGCCTGTTCCACAACAACTGCCTGCAGTGAGAGTGGGAGGAAAAAGAGTGGGCTCTGGGTCTTGGCCACAGGTGGGGCACCTGCTGCTGAAGGAGGATTGCCCATGGCTGGTAGTTGGCCAAGAAGCACTCCTTGCTGCTGTGTTGCTTTGTGTCCTGCAGCAGAGAAGCAGGCAGCACATTTCTCCCCCCCCCCCCCCCCCCCC